CAGGTTGCTCCTCGACAGACCAACGTGGTGCATCTGCTGAGCGCTTTTGTTCGCGCTGCTGGTCCCTGGAGCAAAGAGGTGGCACTCGTGTTGCCTCTATATCCTTGCACATTAGCAGAAGCTCTTCGCATCCCTGCGCATCACGCCGTCCCGCGTCGCGTCCATGAAGCGAAAGCAATTGCGGAGCCACATCTTGGTCCCGAGTCATTGACAACCTCGCCATCCAGTGCAGAATTTGCGCTCAAAGTAACCAAAGGAGTTCTCTCGGGTCTCAATTTCTTGCACTCGATCGGTATAGCTCATCGAGACATCAAACCGTCCAACGTCTTGCTGAGCTACGACGGGGAGGCCATACTGGCCGACTTGGGCGTCGCTACACGAGTGCCAGCTTCTCACGCCGGCAAAGTGGCAACATTGTGTGAAAGACCAAGTCGAACGGCGGAAGTAGGCACGACATGTTATCGTCCTCCAGAGCTCCTCTTTTCTCCTTCCAAAGGCTACGATGGATCGAAAGCGGACGTGTGGTCAGCAGGAGCAAGTCTGATCGAGCTGTGGACTGCGTTGGTAAAGAAGGCGCCGAGAAGGAAGGCGAGCGAGGTGCGATTACCCCACTGGGAAACAGCTCTGGCAGACGATCAGAGCTGGCAGAGATACTCGGGGGCACAAAGCAAGAGTGCATTGAGCAGCAACTGGAGCTTTGACGAGGAGGAAGAAGAACCCTACGAGGATCAAGATCACGAGGAGGAGAGCGAGCTGATTCGGGATTCGAAGCGACAAAGTCTTTTCGATGGCCGAGGAGAAATTGCTCTGGCGGGAAGCATTTTTGCGATTCTTGGTCGACCAACAGATCAAACCGAGTGGCCAGTGAGTCTGCCCGTTGAACGAATCCACGCATCTCTCGAGCAAAGCGAAGCTCACAAATGAAGCAATCCCTCGACCAACCCCTTCTCCAACCGCTCGACTCGGCTCGCACCGCGTGGCAGGAATCGGAACACTTCAGTCCGCCTTTGAGCCGCATGCCTTTCCCAGCGCGCAAGCCCGTCGAAGGCGGATTGAAAAGGCACTTGGCCATTTCATTCCGATCTGCGGCCGAGCAGGCAGCTTTCGAATTCTGCGAATCGGCGATACGACTCTCTGCGGGCGCTCGTCCGTCGGCCGCTGATGCGCTTGCACGTCTCGGGGCGTCTTAGTGGGACTTTGACCCAGTGCCTGACATAGCTATCGTCGCATCTCCATTCAGCCTTTGGCAGTTCTGTGTGCGCCGTTGGCTCGTCACTCATCCCCCCCTGAGCCTCGCTGATATGTTGCGATCCTTTCTGCACCATCGGCCACGCCTGCGTCGTCTGCACAGGGCGAGTTCTGTTCTCCGAGTCATGTATTATCTTTGCACGCCCAATAGCAATGCCATGCATCTGCACACCTCCTTTCGCCTCCTTCTACGCCGGCAACTCGAACTTTTGCCTGAGCAGTGGAGGGAGCGATGTTCAGCGATCCGCGCACACTTGTGCCAAATGCTGACATCAGCCTGCCGCACTCACCCCTTCAAAACCTTGTTTACATAGACTATTGTCAGTGGCCAAGGAATGTGCTACGTCAGCGCATACAAAGCCTGGACGCAGAATGAGCGTTAGCAACGACTCACTGTAGAAAAAGTCGAGGTACAAGCCGGTCTGCACCAGACCGCTGATGACCGAGATCGGGTCCACCTGATTCTCGGTAAAGTATCTGAGGGAGATTGCGAAGGTCAGAGCTGAATGAACGCCAAGCAAAAAGGTCCAATGCAACCTACCGGTAAATCCAATTGGGCAGATACAGAGCTCTGTAAGCGCCCAGAGCGAAGAGGTAATGCGTAGTGATGGTTTCTGCCTCTCCTGTTCTCTGCAGCATAAACAGTTGGGGAAGAATGGCGACGGATTCCAAGTAGATGCTAAAAGCCCAAAACAGCTCCAGGATATTGTAGCCATAGTTGAACACCAGCGCTAGCAGGGCTGCGGGGCCTAGCAAGTATTCCAATCTGATCGTGTCGATCGCTGGATCGTGTGTGGGCCTGGAGGCATTTCGGCGGAGGCTTAGGCTTTAGCGTGGTGTGCAGACACATGGGCCTCTCGCGCATCTGCTGGCACGAGCTTGATCAAGGTAAAAAAGCTCCGCCCACCGCCTCAACCCGACAGACTCACCTGTACTTGACGCGCATGAGATACAAGACATAGACTGAGCTACCGATGAAGAAGATCTTCATCAAGACCCGGTACAAGCTCGTCTCGAAGAAGATGTCCAAGTAGCGCGAGGCAAATACGATCGAGTACAGCAACTGGGTTTTGAAGGAGATACCTGTGCGCGTACAGGTGAGCATCAGACGTGAGCGAGGATGACAAACAGTCGATCTGCCCTTCGTCTTTGTTGGTGTCGATGTGCGCACTGGTCCTGCTGGCTGTGCTCTGTGACAGCACCGATGCAACCACCTCTCCAGCTCCATTCCGCCGCCCTCCGCACGCGAGCACATGAACGAGCATCTACCCGACTTTCATATCCTTGGCTTTGGCTGCCATCTAGCGTCCCATGCGACCTACGCACCTCTGCAGCTCTTGCTGATGGTAATCTTGTGCAGCAAGATGAAGATGGAAGCCAAGTGCGACAAATCGCCAAAGAATCTAAAGATGTTCATCTTTGCACCCTCTTGCGTCTGTGTTCGTTCGTTCGGGGCTGGGTGTGCAGGAGTGCAAGGTTGGCAAGAGTAGAAGGACTGCTGCTTGGTCTGTGATGCTGCTGCTACGATTCGACTGATCAACAATCCAGGAACGGCAACGTATTGCACTGCCACTGTGATGCCTTGGAGATCGTAGCGAGCTCGATAGACTGGCTGACCGAGCAGTAGGACAAGCGCTGGAGACGTGGAACAGCCTTTCGTTGTCGTCGTCGTCGTCGTCGTGCTGAGTGTGTGTTAATTGGTAGTGGGCCTACGAGTTACGCGTTGCGATGCGCGTGTAGGTGGACCAAGTGTGAGGGTGTAAAGCGGGAAGGACTTGCAAGTTGCCGAGACGACTGTGACTGCTGGTTGAGAAGTGCAAGTCTCAAGATATCGATCTACAACCAAAGTGAAGTTTGAGCACTCATGATCGGACTCACGACTCACGACTCACGACTCACGACTCACGACTCACGACTCACGACTC